CGGGAATGACAGCGAGGGATGCGACAGCCTGGACACATAGATCGAGCAGTTGATACGGTGTCGCCCGCTAGCTAAGCAAGAGGCCCCGATCTATGGCGTCCATGGCTACTCCAGCCTCACGGGCAACTTCTTCGAGCGCCGCATTGTTGCCCGCCGCCATACCCACCAACTAGTTTGTCGTTGCCGCGCACCTCTTCGCCGTGCCGCAGACCTGCTTCGCCGCACCCCGCCCCTGTTGTTGTGTCAACGGCGCCTCCAGGACCACAGGGCGCCTCCGCCTTATGGGCATCGATGGCCTCTTTGACTCTTTGGCCTCGTCCATTAGCATTCGCCAACCGCTCCGCGAGCTCTCGCGCTCCCTCCCGGACATGCTGCTAGTGTCCACGTCGTCGGTGAGGGCGCGGTGCTGCTGATGTGGGACGTCGTCGACCACCCGCTCCCGCCTCATCGTCGCAGGCCTCCTCCACTCCCGGCCTCATCCGCTCCCGCCATGGCTACCTCTCTTCGCATCAGGGAGGGGAGAGAAACAGAGGGAGAAGGAGGAGAGTTTGTGTCATTGGCATATGGGGTCCATCAACTTTTATTTATTTTTTAGACTGAAATACCCTGACATGTGGTTCCCACACTGACGATGAATCACCTAAAACCAGGAGCAATATTGCCTTGGAACCCAGTGTGATCTAATTTTATAATATTATTATATCCGATATTTTGATTCAGGAACAATTTTGAAACTCATCGACAAACCAAGAGACCTCAAGCGAACCACAAGTTTCCATTTTTCATTGTCAAAACTTCTGACGGAGGTAAGCAGGTCGTCGGGGCACCAGGCCAGCAGGCCTCTCATAGTAGCGACCAAAGACGTGCGTGGCTGAATTGGGCCTTTGCGGTGCGCTTACGCTACAAGGCCTATATGACATCCGCCTGTCAAAAAGCCCACCCCATCTCAAGGCCCATTTCAAAGTTGGCACGCGAGTCCCCGCGCCGCGAGACGAGTCGCGGCCGCGCGCCTTCCCTTCCCCCTGCAGCAGATGGAGCACCACGCTGCACGCGGCACGCCTGCCTCTTTCCCCACGTAGGCGGTAGTCAGAGTCCGCACGGTGTGTAGCGTGGTCGCCACTCGGCGCCACCGCAAAAGAGGCGCAGGCCACTTGGCCCAGCCCAGCGATGGGATTTTACAGCTCCTTGGACGCGTAGGCTTTTCCAGGATCGCCAAATTAAGATGTCTCTTCTTCTGGTCAAATCTGACTCATCTCAGCTGTTGGACATCCCCTAGCTAGCTCCCAAAAAGAAAGCCTACTACTGGACATCCAAAATCCAGCCACTGCTGGTTTGGTCTCTCTGGGGTGATCGAGCTTGTAGTAGGCTGCACCTGCACTTGCATTGCAGCCAGCCATGGGCACATGCTAAAGCTTGATCTAGATGGCTTCCTTTGGGGAAAGCCGGAAAGACAAAAGGAGATGAGATGAAGCTGAAACTGAACCCATTAAGGGTGTGTTGGCTGCTCCTTGTTGGGAACACTCTTTATAGGTATAGAAAACAGAGTAGTTCATTAACACATGATTAATTAAGTATTAGCTATTTATTTTTTTCAAAAATGGATCAATATGATTTTTTAAACAACTTTCGTATAGAAACTTTTTGTAAAAAAAAGCACCGTTTAGTTGTTTAAAAAGCGTGCACGCGGAAAACGAGGGAGATGAGTTGGAAAAACTGTGATAAGAACGCAGCCTAAAAGGCCGGTATACTCGATCGATGCTGCACTTGGCCTGTCTGCTTCCTTCCGTGCCAAGCCATGGACGGATGACGGGAACTAACTATAGCTAAAGGCTAGCCCATCACCGTATGCATGTGCAAACGTGGTGGAAAAGGAATTTTTAGCCATCTGTTTTGCTGTTGCTGCTATATATTTCGTCCTTTTTTTCTCTCTCTCTCCGTGTACAGAAACACACGTAATGTGAGCCCACTGGTATGTGTTTTCTGATATTAATTCTTTTTCCTGAGATGATGATGGGAGAATTAAAGCTGGAAAACAAAACTGATTGGCACCCAGTGATCCAGAAATAAAAGGGGGAGCTTTTCAATTTCAGCTTCACTTTGGGTATGGTGTTGAGGTGTCTTTTGATTATTCTCCGCTTAATCAATCAATATAACGGACAGTTTTCCTGTTCATTCAGAAAAAACAAATATCAGCTTCAGTGCATGGCAGTCATACAGAAACTCATAAGGAGAATCAAATTGACTGTTTGAGATGCATATTCTATTCCGATTTTCGTTAGCACGCTTTTTAAACGTCTAACCGGTGTATTTCGTGTAAAATAATAAATAAATCTATTTTATGTAGAAGTTACTCTAAAATATTAAATTCTAAAATATTAAATAAATCCACTTTTCAAGTTTATAATAATTAAAATTCAATTAATCATATATTAATGGCTTTCTCATTTTATGTATCCTTGCTTAATCTTAATTTTTCACCTAAGTCAAACGGGGCTTACAGTAAATGGAAAGATGGAAAGAATGGTGAAACCCACCAGCAACGTACGTATATAAAAGAAGAATGATAGCTGCTGCTAGCTGCAAACACACACTAGTATTTTGTTTGTTTTGAGGTTAATGTATCTTGAGAGCAAGTTTAATAGTATCGTTTGTTGATGGGCTGAAAATTTATACACGTAAGTAATAGATGGTACTAATAGATGATACGTATAATAACTACCTGCTAAGTTACCTACCCACACATCCCTAAGCAGTTGATTTTTATTTTTTAATGAGACTTGTTTCCTTCTACCCAATCTTTGATGTAGCAATGGTTAAGTCATTGAGCAAAAGCTAGGACTAAGGGCTGGTTCTCAGGACTTGCATCGTTTCCTGTGATGGAGCTCGGCGATTGCATTAGCGCCCGCTGCCTTCTCTCTTCGGTTTTCTCTCTCTTCCACCTATGATTTCTATGACGTGGATGCTTGTGTCGTCAGCTTATCGTACTCTATTATACCTGCGCTGATAGTACTCACTGCTCAAGTCTTCTTCCGTTAAAAGAGCTTACCTCAAATTCCGCTCAAATTAATGTACGCACGAAGTGGCTGGAGAAGTCTACAAGTACCAACCAGTAGCTAGTGGCCTTGATAGGCAATCAATCAAAATACAGGCTTCATGGTGTGTACTACGGCTGTGTTTAGATCTAAAGTTTGGATCCAAACTTCAGTCATTTTCCATCACATCAACCTGTCATACACACATAACTTTTTAGTCACATCATCTCTAATTTAACCAAAATCCAAACTTTACGCTGAACTAAACATAGCCTACTATGATATATATGACTCGCTCGCTCGACGTTGTATGAGTATGGTGTGTGCACGTATACATCTTCAGTACTGTATGTAGTCCAGAAAAGTCGATGCCATATAGCGGTTGATGCACGGGGAGGGAGAGGGTAGTGGTTACCCCCACGTTTTCTGAAGCGATCTCGCAGTATCAGTTTTTGGCACTATATATATACTCCATCCGTTTCAAAATGTTTGACACCGTTGATTTTTTAGCACGTGTTTGACCGTTCGTCTTATTTAAAAAAGAATTGTGAAATATATAAAACTATATATGTACATGAAAGTATATTTAACACGAAAATATATAAAACTATATATGAAAATAATAAATAATTACTTAAATTTTTTGAATAAAACGAATGGTCAAACACGTACTAAAAAGTCAACGGTGTCAAACATTTTGAAACGGAGGGAGTATATATTACCCACAAAAACCTTACATCAGTTTTTATTTTCTGGAACTCAAAACCTTGGATCGATTGATGCGCCCTGCCCCTGCAAATGCCACCACATGATTGAACATGAGACGATGCCTAATAGGGAATATTAAGTGGCCCATTATCGTCCTGATCACTTGCCGTGGGTGCAGAGCTTACCTCTGCAGTATTGCTCGATCTCGCGGTCTCTTTACACCGAGATATGTATTTTAATCTGCTACTACTAATCTAGAGGCAATCGATCGATCATCGCCGTGTCATCAGCTAGGTATTGTTGCGCGCTACTCTCTCTTGGGTCCCGCTGATCATGTGAATTCTCTCCCGGATTTGCTAATTCGTTGCTTGGGTGAGACGACTGATGAAACACTTTTGTGGGTCGCTTTTACTGAATTTTATATGGTTGTGCATGCTTTCATCAGGTGATGATCAATCATGTCAGTGATACGTACAGGACAATACATTACTATGGGCTAGATTTGTTGAACAATACATTACTGTATGGGCTAGATTGGTCAACTGAGATGGAGGTTAATGTTAATTACTTGTTCTACTGCAGTTAATTAATGGATATGCTCATAATAAAACGGTATTACTGGTACATTCTTCGTGAAATGGAAAGCAAACACGGTAGTAACTTTTTCTATGCTTTCCTTGTTAGTACTAGTTTCTGATTTCACGAGCGCGGCAGCCAAATCTTTCAGATGGTTTTATATATGCTTTTCCCCTGCATCTCCATTATTAGTTTTCCGACAGCATCAGGCAGGTTCGGCAGCCCGTGCATGCTTGTGGAAGTCCCATTTCTCTCGCGACAATTAGCGCTGCAACCTCTGAAACTTCGTCAGGCAGGCAGGCAGCTCCCGTTCTCCCATGCCATCGCCATGATCTATCTCCATTCTCCAGCTAGCTTCTCATGTAGTAATAAGCCGATGGCAAATTCGTCCAATCGATCGGCAATACAACGAGTACGTCGAAGAGGAGCCAAGTAGTCAGTAACAGTTAAAGACCCCGAGCTCTTCTTAGTACAAGTACGTACATTGGATACATTAGAGTTCGAGAGTACGAGCTAGAAATTCTAGTACAGGTACAGATTTGTCCGAGCTGGTGTGCGATCTAGCCAGCCTTGTCCGTTTGAAAAATCCTTTGAAAATTTCGGCAAATCCTTACGAAGCGAGAACACTACAAGGGTAGTGGTAGTACTCCCGCTTTGTTAAAGCGAGCGCGTCCAAATGGAAAGGCGAGCGATAGAGATAGATAGCTTGGGTTTGGGTTGGCTCTAACTCGAAACCCTTTCCACACGACGACGTGCTCCTGCCCTTTGCGTGCGCTGGGACTCAACTCGAGTGATCGGCTGATCGCCCGCTATAAATAACCCGCGGCTTTGCTTACGCGACACTACTGGAGTTAGCGAGCACTGCGCACTGAGCACCTCGACACGGCGCGCGCGCGGCCATGGTGAAGAACACGAGCAACAAGTGCATTGCTGCTGCCGGCGCGACGGCGGCGGCCGGCTTAGGCGGTGGCGCGGCGTCGTGCAGCGGCGGCGGAGGTGATGGGAAGGTGACGACGGCGGCGGCAGCGGCGTTGGCGGTGAGGCCGTACAAGGGGGTGAGGATGCGGAGCTGGGGGTCGTGGGTGTCGGAGATCAGGGCGCCGCACCAGAAGCGGCGGATCTGGCTGGGCTCCTACGCCACGCCGGAGGCCGCGGCGCGCGCCTACGACGCCGCGCTGCTCTGCCTCAAGGGCTCCGACGCCGTCCTCAACTTCCCCTCCTCCGCCTCGTCTCGCCGCCGCCTCGACATCCACCGGGGGGGCACGGACTCGGCGGCGGGCGACATGTCGCCGAGGTCCATCCAGCGCGTCGCGGCCGCCGCGGCGGCGGCATTCGACGCCGCCGCCGCCGCCGTCGTCGTCGACGAAAGCTGCTCGTGCAGCGCCGAGGCGATGTCGTCGACGCCGACGTCGGGAGCGACCTCGCTGTCCACGCTGGGAAGCTCCGGCGGCGGTGACGTGCTGGACCACGCGACGACGCCGTCGTCGTCGTCGTCTGCCGCGGCCAACGTTTGCTCGCCGCCGCTGGAGGGGGACCATGAGCTGTGGACGGAGCTGGACGCGTTCGCGTCGCCGAAGTTCATGGATCTAATGGCCGCCGGCGGCACGGCGTTCTCGTCGCCGTGGGAGGAGCCCGAGGAGGACGGCGAGCTGATGAGGCTGTGGAGCTTCTGCTAGCTTAGCTAGGAGCCTAGGAAATCGATCGTGAATCCATTCGCCCATGCAACACAATACTACCATTGATCCAATCAATTTCTCCTCTCTTTGAGCATCGAAAGCTAGGTTAATTAGGCCTTGGTCCATGGCTTCAGTTCTTCCATAGATTCTTCTTCTTTTCTTTGATAATATCTTGATTAATTAATATGGTTGTAATTTATATAAGTATTTTACGGTGTTACACTGTACGGGTTGTTGAATGAGACTGTGAGTGCATTGGATACTGGTTGGATTTGTTCCATTTCTGTTCTAATTTAATTTCTTGATTGGTTAGTTTAATCTGAAATCGCCCGGGACGACGCGCTTTGTGTCCCCCTGCGGAGGCTTGGTGCTGAAGCAGCTTCGCAGGCTAGCTGTTAAGAGTTTTTGGGTGTTGTAAAGGTGAACACATGCATAGATACACTGCTTTCGATCGATCCAGCTAGATTCCTGCGCATCCGTCGATGTTTTCCTTTCCCATTTTTAAGTTTTGTTTTTTCGTACGAGTGAAGGGTTGATGATTCTCAACCTGTTCACACGGCCGGTTGCCTCTTTTACTGTTTCATTGCTTAATATCAAATTTTCTATAGAAATTTTTCGTACCTTCCAGGTTAAGACAGTAAAATGTATCGTATTAACAGATTAGCCTAAGGTTTTTAACCAATGGTCGAGTAGTCCTTGTTTAAGCTTATAAGCATTAGACTTCGCACGTCGGCAAGTTTTCAAACAAAGCATATAGAAAGTACGCGTGTCCTCTTTAAATCGAGTGGTGAATGGGTTGACTCCACAGCAGCGCAAATCGGGACCATAGACAGTAGCTAAACCATGCATGTTCTGGACAACTCATCCTGCGACGCAGGGCCAACACGTATGTAGCCTTTTAATCTTATTATTACAAACTATGAAAATTGGGTTGCCCCTGAGCATCGCCTTTCGAATTTCCTTTTCTGAAAAAAGAAAAATTTGGAAACAAAAACAAAACTTTGCAAGAAGAAGAATTGATAGAAATCTTTTTGTAGATCTCAATCGCTTTTGTCATAGATGTATCATTGAATAGGTATACTATACTACTGACGTGAATCGATGAATCGACAGGGAAGGAATAGTTCCCTGAAATTATGTCCATTTAAACCAAACAAATGAAGTTGAGGTGCTCAAAACACCGGTGATAACTAATCTGTAGAAGACGAACATCGGTATGCACTAGTACTAGCAGCTAAAGACAACAACTAGAAGACGATCAAATTATGTTTCATGCCATTTTCTCTTGGATCTAATTTCACATATGGATATTTTAATTTGAACTACAAAAGTAAAATGGTTTACCAAAATGGTATTAACCGCAAAATCAAACTTGAAGAGTCCATAACCAAAGGATCAATGAACGAACGTCGGGACAAGGAGCTTTGCTTCAGCAGAATGAATCTTGATCTTCCTCGACGCTGATATAAGAGAATCTCTATATTCTAGTTTCCAGGGACTTGAATCTCTATATTCTAGTTTCCAGCATTTACATTTTGTGGCTTCAGGAGCACAGCAATGCACCCACTTCTCTGTAACCAGTTGTCACCCCTTGATATATAAGAGAATGACCCGCCGTTGACAACGTTTTCCCTGTATTTCGACGGCCAACCATACTTGACCAACAACTCATGCATGTTCAGGTTGATCTGATGCTTCATCCTGCTGTGCCTTCTGATAACTTGGGTCAACCGCAGTTTGTTGGGTACCCGTGTTGTCTACTTCTGAATAAAGAGTATCATTTTTTATGTCATCACTGGTTTTGCTGCTTCCTTCGCTGAAATTTACTGCATTCTTCACATTTTTAGGCTCCTCAGATTCCACAAGATCAGAAACAGTTTGCATGCTCTGAACAGGAGGGTTTTCAAGGTTGATACCCATCCCTTGCGAAAGCGCTACATACTTTAGTACTAGCTGCTTGTAGGAGTTTAAAAGGTTTTCTACATCAGCAACAGTCAGATCACCAGAGCGGGCAAAAAGGAATGGGTACTCTTGAATTTTTTTGTTCAAGTCATCATCCTTGAGAAGCTCGGCTGCTCCTTTCTTCTCCAAATCAGAAATCGATTGCACACGCTCAACTGGGTTACTACTTGCATCACTGTCCCTTCTCATTTCCAGTCCAGGACCTTGGAAATTATCTTTCAAAGAGAGATTGACATCAGAATCCCTGCTAGCTTTCAGTGTTTGTGATTTTTGCTCCCGTACATCAAGATTGTTTTGGTTGTCCTGATTCTCTGAGCTAGCTGATAATCCCAACATGCGTTCCCTTGCCAAGTCCATCTTCTTTTGGAAATCTCGTTCATCCATTGATAATGATTCCCCATCAATGTTCCAGATGAAAGACTCAGCGGATAAGATGTTTGTAAAGAAATACTGAGCTTCTGACACCAACCGTGATTGACGTCTGTATCGCTGTATATATAATAGATTTGAGTGTAACTGTGGAGGATTTGCCTGCATTAAGAACAGCTACTGCTTAAATTCTTTTGGCTACCTTAATTTAAATGACAAATAAAAACACTTTACAGATGATTTTCAGGCAAAAGGATCATAACATTGTAGTTCAGATGATAGAACAAAACTACAACTAATGCTGAATTGCGGTGCAAGGGTAGTTTAGGCTAACTGCAGTAATTCCAGAAGCACGTAATACCTTGAGAGGCCAAACTAGAAGAGCACATATATCATTAACTCTTACCATTCAGTAGTTGACAAGCTCTTTCCGGTAATGAAGAGAAAAGTAAAGTGATAACCGTACATGATCTGATCTTAAGCCCTTTATGGTCATTTGCTGCAGTTTTCAAAAGCAAGTCCACAACCACTCAAATGCCAACTATTAGGTTTGTAATGAAAGTTTAACCATCATTTGTAATCAAAACTGATGTAGTGCCTAGCTAGAGGAGGGATGCCCAACTGATGGTTCACAGATTCATGGTTGCTCTAAGCACATGTACTGATGGGCATGAGTGCATGACAAGGTTGCTCTCAAATCTGGCAAACTATTTCAGTACAAAACTCACTATTAGATTAGACATGGAACCTGCATCATAATAGATAGGTAGAAGTTGGAACTAAAAGTAATACGAAGCAACAGTAAATGAGGTTGCACAGCGCACTGACAACTCTATTAAGAGGCAATGTGCCCAACAAATCACGTACCACTGCACCAATAATAGGCTTATATTTTTTCTAGAAAATATCAAAGTTGAGTAGGTAATACACAAATAGTCACCATCAAGTCGACACCTAATCTGTGCCATATCAAAGGGGGCAAATTTTCTTTCTCCAATACAGCACCAACAACTTAATATAATATTGTCAATATTTGATGGTTCATTTGTATCATCAACCAGTACTTTAACAAGTAGTGAATCATACCTTTATGGTAACATAGATGAGGACTGGAAGGAATTCATCAGCTCCCGGGGGATTTTCATTTGATACAATAGACGCATTTAGAAGTAGGTTGTTGATGACTTTACAGCAGTTCAGGATGCAAGCAAGCTTATCCCTTGGAGCCTTATACATGTTTATCTTCTGCAGCTCCTTCTGTGCAAGCTGTACAAAGAAGGGAACATATGTTAGTAAAGAACATTTATATATTTGAACACTGAGCCAGTTAATGCATGCCACTGGAAGTATTCCCTTAATTAAGGTCCTTGCAAGCAAAAAGAATTGACATTAGACCACAGTACGCAGATTAGGGTTGACAGTGGCAGCATTACTGTGATGATAATGCCATAAACTAAATAGCGAGTGTATATAAGAAGTGGGCAGAATGTTATTCACATGTAAGCATTAGTTTATAAATATACTTCAGACAGACAGGTTCAACAGGTTCCTCAATACCCAAGTAGTTCAATGTTATTGAAAGGTTCTGCACTGTAACAGATCTTCACAAATCTAAAAATGTATAAAGAGAGGAAATCAACTTCCATACCAGCCATGATGTTTCACTTTGATATTCTGGTTTGATATCCAAGTTTTCAGGCCGTATAAACTGCTGTAACAAAGACATCTTCTCAAAAAGTTCTTCATCACTCTTCACATCTTCCGGGACAGAAGCAAATACCCGATTGAACAGCTTTGTCATAACGTATTTCTCAAGGCCCTAAAATCACAATACAAGACAATCCAAATGTTGATATAACGACAAATATATTGGAGAATATGCAAGTAACGTTATGACATTTTATGGAATATATCAATAAGATGAAGAGGAACTCGGTAGGTAAAGGGTAGAGCGAGAGTGAAAAAGGAGAGTTTAAGTTTAAAAGTATCGAGTTTGAACTGCACTTTAAAAACAGCAACATGACTAGTGGAATAAGTTAATAATTCCACGTAACTGCCAGTCTTAATCAAAGTGTCTAAGAAAGGCACCTAGCTCGGCTGGCAGGGAGCTGCCAGGAGCAGAGCACCAGCCTGAGTTCGAATCCCTTCTAACGCAGGTTTTCTCACCATTTTCTTCTCTATCAATAATGGATGCTAAGTTCCTTCCTAGTACTCCAACACATTCTTAATCAAAATGCCTGAGATAATTTGATGAAGCCGTGCATTCCAAATTTCCGATGGGAGTAAATACAAGTCAGATGCATTTATTATGTATCTCTGTTAAACACAGAGATTATGATAACATGATGGATTGACTGCCTGAATCTTTGGCAAGCAGGCATGGTCACCAGAAAATAGGATAACTGGAAAATGAAAGACAGAAATAATTCATCTCATGTTAAAGTAGAACCAAAATAGGATGTTTAGTTCATCCCGTTGTCTAACAGATTTTAGTCAATGCATTAATCCGATCATGTCAAAAAGGAAAGACAGCATGGTCCACGAATCAAGAATCATATACTCATATAGCACAGTGACATCAATTAAAAATCCAAAAATAAAAAGAACACAGGCATATCTTATCTATAGAAAGTTCATACGGAAATTACCCATAAGACATTTGGACAAACCAAATTTAACGACTTACTTTGCAAGCAGGTAATCAACAAGAACATAGAGCTCTGAAATTCAATTTTGATGTTCATCTCTCTAGTTATGTAATATTACTATATCAGCAGTACCACGGAACAAGGAAATTGATTACCTCACCGGCACTTTCTAGTTCTTCTTCAGAACTTCCAGCCCAGGGGGTGTGAGCCCTGAAAGCACCTTCCATATTTTCCAGGAATTCTTGAACAGCCGCACTATCATGTTCAGGGTCAGGAGCTCTGTTCGAGAACGTTACGATAAAGCTGTATAACATGAAACATAACAACATAAATGATGTATTTCCCATACGAAAACATACATAAATGTCAAGTATTGGTTAGTTATGGATGCTGGATCTAGTATTTTAAAAGGTAAAAAAAGAAAGGCAAAGAAGGCAGTGCTGAAGCGTGCTCCTACATGTAGAAGAATTAAGTAAACTCACTAGTTTACAAAGCCTTAATTCCAAATTCCCAGCTTCTGGCCTAACATATAGAAAAGCGTATTTGTCAAGAATTAACTATGGTGTCCTCCCAGCTGTTGAATCTCCAGATACAACCTTGGCTACTATGTGTCATTGCCACTGTGCATAAATCCCAACTCATGTATTTCTAAATAAGCATGTTAACTTCTATGCTCTGTATCCAAGGTAGATATTTCACCCAAAGTGCATAAACCGATCATGCAATTTTCCTCAAACAACCCCCACACACATCGCATTGTTGCATTGCCGGCACACTGATCAATTATATCGATTGTGCTGCGACTCATCTATCCAAATGCAGTAACCCTAGACATAGAAAATAGGAATGGCATTAAACTTCACCTCGGAACTACACAGACGACGGTTAACAGGTAGGCGAAGAGACAAACAGCAACCCTAGATTAAGCTCCCCCCACAAAACCGGCACGGCGATCGGTCATATCGCCTTGCTAACACATATTGAAGGACACGGGAACGTAATCCCCTTGAACCCACGCCAAATGCTCCCCAAATCCCCACTATACCAGCAAAATCGCCCATCCCCGCACCACACACTATCGAACCAACACGCGCCGCGTAACACGAACCAATCGCGGCACACGCTTTCCGTCTCGGATCCCTAGACCACGAACTGAGATCGAGCATATGCCTAGCACCGAAAATTTGTGGCGGAGCTAACCCCTTGATGGACTTGACGAAGTCGGCGGCGGAGGGCTGGCGCATGCGCTCCAGGAAGTCGTGCCAGGCCAGCGGCGCGGTCGCGGACCCGAAGGCGTCGCCTCCGCCGCCGCCATCCATCGTCGCCGGATCGGGGAAGCCGGGGAGGTCGGCGGGCTCGGATCAGCCGGATTCGGTCACGTTTTGTGGGAGGAGGAGAGAAGGGGGAGGAAGTCAAGGGTCGCCGCGGTGGATGCCCCCGGCGACGCGCGGTGATTTATTTTGTCGGAGCCGTACTCGCCGAGAAGGGAGTGGCTCACGGCGCTTCCGCGTAACCAAAGATGGCCCTGTTTAAGGACATTTTTAGTTTGGAATTTCCAAAGGTTTTATTTATTACTCGTAGCAGTAATATTTTTTCTAACTACTCCCTCCATCCACAAAAGTTACGCATATTATTTTTAACACCAAAACCAAGGAGAAATTAAATCACCTTGGATGTTACAAAATCAAGGAGTAAATGAAAGCATGCAACCAATGAGTATTTTGATGACTTCTTGGATTCTAATAAAACATTTAATTTATCTCTTCATTCAATGCATAAAGACTACACATAAGAACAACTTATTTGGAAAAACTCATATGTGAAACAGGTGTAACTTTTGTGGATGGAGGGAGTAGATGGTACCCTGCGTGTTGCTGCAGGAGAATTATACGATAATAAAGTAGATATGACTTTTAAAATTTTTTTCTTTCTTACCTATATACAGTTTTTTCCCGTGTTTATTTTTTTTACATTTATCGGTTATACATAAGTTATAAATAATTGAGTTGTATGGTGTGTCTTTTGGGAGGAAGAGATATAATTTATATCCTTGATAAATCATCCAAAACCTAAAAACAATTAAGATGATATGAAGAGATGTAATTTATACCCTTTATAAATTATTCAAAGGCTAAAAACAATTGAGGTGATGTGGAATCCTGGGAAGAGGAATACCACGCACATGCAGCTGCTACTTGTCCAAGATCGCAGGAAGCATGATGATGCATCCAGCAGAGGAAGTTGTGACCAACCATGGGGAGCATGTGATGCAGGTGCTGGAAGGCTCGTTCGGTGCGGATTCCGCGTCCGTGCCGAGAGATAGCATTTGGGTGAGGTTTCACCCTACCGTTTGACGGTTACACAGTAATCGCGTGCTTACTAAAAAACCACATAATTATCACGAGATGTATCGTGATTTTAAAAAACTAAAAATGTTACCACGCATGATAACCACGCGACAACCCTGGAGCAGTTCCGTGTTGTGGTCTTTGTGGATTCCTGCACGTCCGATGTGTAGACTAGCCTCGTGGGCTCATTTGCTCAACCCAGTTTGGCTCTTCTGGGCCTCGTAACTTCGTGCGTTTCGCCACATGTGTGTGTGGCAGTTTCTACTAGTTGGTCAATGCATTTGCTGTAATCAGCGAGCAGTGGTGCCCTTTTGTAAAGTTTCAAATTGCTCTCCAGCTTCGGCTAGCGCACCAGACAATGGAGTGATGGCGTCGCTCGTAACCATCTGATAAAGTCGAGGGATCCTTTCAGTGCTCTGAAACTGTCTGTAGCAATTTCCCTGCCACTACTGCCATATGATTTTAGAAATGGGTGTTAATCAAACTGATACAATGATGTGGCACGTTCATTATAAATATTTACACCACGCTTTGCTGTGCAAATTGCAATACTACGTTGGTGGAAAGAAGAGGAAAGAACGACGAAATGCGCAGACTGCGTACTCGACTACGGCCGCGAGAAGAAATGTACTACAAAGTATAAAAAGAACACCTTCTTAAAGCAAACCCCTGACCCAGAAAGCTGTTCTGCCTGTGCATTATGCTAGTTATGGACAATGAAGTACGGTGCATTTGATATGTGGGGCAAGGCTGCCGATCGCAAAGTGAGCTTGAGCGCTCTTAAAAACACTAACAGTCAACACAGGTATAAAGGCAGAATTAGCAATGCCTGCACAGGTTGCAATTAGCAACTACTCCTACCAACTCCTAATCTCCTATAATCAGCTCAAACTGAAAACTGGTGCGTAACTGACACTACCATTAATCCTCCAGCCTCTCATGGTCGCACCACAAGCTCCAAAAGGCCAAGGGCCTCCAGGTCATGCAGATTATTGGATACGCTGCACGTATCAGGGAGCAATAAGCCACTACGTGTCCACTGGCAGTCTGGCATCGGTACATTTCTCCACCATCTCTTGCACGGTGGAGCCCAACGAACGATTCCCCAAAATGTCTGCTGGTGCGGTCCAGACTCCAGACTCCAGACGGCCACTGTGATCTACAGTGTTCACCAGTCACCAGTAGGAGTACTCCTCTGTGCCATGTACCGCATCGGATTGACGAACGAAACTGCCATTGACCACATCAAAGTACTCCGTATAGTAGAGTGAAGTGGTCGCCAACCGCTCTGTACAAGACGTGACTCGCGCCGTGACAGCCTAACTCGACCGACCGCACAGTGTCCTCTTCATCACTACTACTCCCTCAGTTATATAATGAGATTTGCTACCGTCCAGCAGAGGAAGGCGGTACCAAATCCTAGCTATCCGTTGGGATAAATCAAACGATTGAGATTGCTCGGTACCGTGCGGTACCATTAGCTCTTATAGTGGTACCGTTTCTTAAAGAGAGGTGGAAGGGTAGTATAGACTTTTCACATGTAAGGGCGAGACGCCGGCCTCCGGGGTGCGTGGTGGGGTGTTGATGGCGGCACCAGACTGTGGGTTCCAGACCCGATGTCAATAGCGGCGGTAGGTAGCGAGGTGCGCCGCGGGACCAGCATCGACGGACGACGAGGTCTGGGGCCAGCGTTGATGGCGGCGACGGCGAGCTGCGGGGTTCAAGGGTTCGAGGTGGCGTGCAGCCTGCGAGATCCAGCCCCAGCTTCGACGGCGGTGGCAAGCATCGGGGTGTGTCACAGGGCTAGCGTCGGCGACGACGTGTTGCGAGATCTGATCCCGGCGTCGACGGTAGGGCTACGGGATCTGCGGCCGTGTGCGGCATGTGTGGCCTGCGACTCTGCGAGATCCAGTCTCGGCGTCGATGGCCATGGCGGGCGGCTGCGGTGGCGGTAGGGGCGTTGCCGGCCGCGACGGCAAGGTGGCCGTGGAGAGGTCATACCAGGTGCCACGGTAGCAGCGAGGGTGTTGGCGGCCGAGGCAGCGAATTGGTCGTGGAGTTGTCGGATTAAGCACCACGCCAGCAGCGGCGAGTCGTCGGACCAGGCGGCGGCACCGGCGGCAAGGAAGAACTGCAAAGACGCGCATATGAGGGAGGAAACAATGGACACAAGCATGCAGCGGGGTCCAAGAATGAGAATTTTTCTTTTTTGACGAAGAACTCAGGAACGAGATTAATTGACTCAATATTGGAAGAGATTTTTACTCATTCCCAATCCTACCCCTAAACATTGGATGGCTAGATTTGTTTCAATACCTGGTGGTACTGGTACCTTGGGGTACCAAGTGCTGGACAATAGCAAATCTCTTATATAATACAAGAGATTTTAAATTTTTGTTTGCACTATTTGACTACTCATCTTATTAAAATAAATTTAGAATTATTATTATTTTTACTTACTTTATTATTCAAAGTACTTTAAACATAACTTTTCGTTTTTTACATTTGCATAAATTTTTTGAATAAGACGAGTGGTTAAATAGTATAACCTTATATATATAAGCAGAAACTTAAAATCTCTTGTATTACGTGGGACGAAGGGAGTACAGCTTCTTCGACGGATAAACGGACTCAAAAATCCATCTTACGAAAGTTCCAATGGGCAATGGCAACAGCGAAAGGCAGGCTAACGTAGAACAAAAATCCGAGGCCGTGGCGATGATTTATGAGCCTGTGACGCACACGTGCAGGTCCGGCGACGTAGGAAACGGCGAGGTTACGGTAGCTCGCGAGTCTCGGGTTAGGTCAGCAATGATTGTCGCTACACACCAAATCAGAAGGCAAAAACGTCAAGGGAACTCAACGGAAGGGACACAAAAGAAAAAAAAAACTGGCCCCAGCGAGGAGCAGATGCATTTCACGACTACGACGGCCTGCCGCAACGTACCAACGTAATCTCGCACTGGCCGCTATCAACGGATTGTGAAAGCAGCCACTTGTGATAGTTTAAGTCAAGAAAACCGAGATTCAATTTAGCTAATTACAATACTTACGTTAAGCCTGGGAAGTCCAAACCCGGTGCTGTGTCCGGAGACCCACCTGTTTACACGAATATGGTAGCTAGAAGTACACCGAGGAAAAAGTATATAAAGTCCAAGAATATTGACTTAGGATTAACAGAGAAAACTTAGGCTACTTACAAATAGCGAATCAATGCACTCCATTATAAACCTCCGAGTGTCCAACTGTGGCAAGATTTCGATTCGATAAAAGGATCTACTAGTACCAAGATTGAACTTCGAGAATCCTTCTACCAACCAATAAATTCCAGGACAGCACGGTTTAAAATTCGGGAAGATAACACGTTCGTGCACCAGAGTTATTGAGGAATCAAAACAAGAACTACCAAGCCATATGCAAACCGAGATTTGTACTAATTTAACCAGGTTCAAGTCACTAACTCAGATACTAATTTAGGGCCCGTTTAGTTCCCTAAAAATTTTTCTCAAAAACATCACATCGAATCTTTGGACACATGCATGAAGCATTAAATCTAATTGCACAGTTATGGAGGAAATCGCGAAACGAATCTTTTAAGCCTAATTAGTCTGTAATTAGCCATAAGTGCTACAGTACCTACACGTACTAATGACGACTTAATTAGTCTCAAAAGATTCGTCTCGCGGTTTCCAGGCTAGTTCTGATATTAGTTTTTTCATTCATGTCCAAAAACTCCTTCCGACATCCGGTCAAACGTTCGATGTGACACATAAAAATTTCCTTTTCCCCAAACTAAACAAACCTTTATAACCAGGTTCAAGACACTCTCCAGTCGGCATGAGGACTACTCTACGGTATATTCCTGCCGTCTGACACTCGACACAACACGGAAGGGCCACGTTCCTTCTCCAAAACGTTCTTCCGCAACTCTGCAGGTCTGCATTTACAAATGGTTTATCGCCTAACCCACGCCCCTCATTTCCAGGTAACCGTAAATTCTCGAGTACACCTCGTCCCCACCACTACCACCGGTCACCACCACGAAAGTTACTGACCATCCACACAGCCTAACTCGTTCGTCTCCATGCCGCGGCGCCGCTGCCGGCTGAGCCAGCCAGATTACCCAGGGGAGGACATGGGCATGGGCGTGCGGCCGTGGCAGCGTGCACCGGACAGCGGAGTCCCACCAACTCCGAGCCGAAACGAATAAACACCACGCCGAAACAATGGCATACGCACCAAACGGGCAAACGGACACGAACAAGGGGAGAAGATAACCGAGCGGAAAGCGGACAGGTGACAGATCCCACCCGCTCGCTCGCTCGCTCCCACCACTTCCCTTTGCCCCTAAGTAATTGAGAACGATGAAGAAAGATGAAGGAATTGACCATGGCGAATTGGGCGATAGTGATAATTACCGGACAGTAATTCACAAAAATCAGCGGCGACCTCCTCCTCTAGGGTGAGGTGAGAGAGCTCAAAATTTACCCCCCACGTACAGGAATCGGAACCCAGGATTAGATAGAGAAAGAGAGATTAGAATCGACAAACACGGGTCACATCCACTTATCTATCTCCATTAGATTAAGCCTTCTGCATCCTTCTTCTTCTTCTGCTGCTGCTGTTGCTGCGATGGTGTGGTGGTTGGTTGCTGCTGCTAGACGCTTAGGCCATCCACGCCACATTGCTTGTATGTCAGTGACTGCCTCCTCGGACTGATGGCGATCGCGCAATCCACCGACACCTGAGGTTCGTTCACACGCAGCTTTCACGATCAGGTCGCGCGTAATCGGCCGCTTGCGGCGGAGGTAGGGGGAAGTTGGGTTTGGGCGGGGTGGGGTTTACCTGGACTTTTGGGGAGGAGAAGCCGAGCACGAGGATCTTGGCGCCGACGTCGCCGGTGATGCGGAGGTCGACGCGGTCGCTGATCGCGGCGTCGCGGACGAGGTCCTGGGCGTCGGCCTGGAGCACGTTGAAGCGGTCGACGATGACGCGGGTCTGGAGCAGGCGGGTGCTGTGCGCCGGCTGCTCGAACCCGGGCACGGCCGCCACCCCGAGCGGCACGCCGTGGTACATGACGTCGAACGCCGTGGCGCCGTAGCGGATGCCGACCTTGTTGGGGTTCACGGCGGTGAAGAGGAGCGTGATGTTGAGGGAGAGGTAGGCCGCGGCGGGGACCGCGGCGGCCACGGTCCCCCCCACGGCGGAGGCGGCGGAGGACGGCGGGGTGACGAGGAGGTACTGGACGGACACCTGGTTGAGGTCGAACTGCGGCTTCCGCGGCTTCACCACCAGCACCACGACGAGCGCGACGGCCAGCGCGAGGAGGGCCAGGAAGGTGAGCAGCAGGAAGATGCAGCAGCAGCAGCCGCGGAACGAGGCCGACCCGCCGCCGTACCCGCCCCCGTAGTGCGGGCGCCGCTGCTGGTACGAGGGCGGCCCGTGGTGGTGCTCGCCGTTGGATCGGGTCGTCATCGCCGCCGCCGCCGCCGCGGAGTTGGATGGATGGGTTGGTGGGTGGGTGAGGCCGTGAGCCCGTGAGGGGAGGAGGGGGGTGGTTTGGATTTCGGGAGCTAATGGAGCATTTGCGAGGTGGTACTTGTGGGGGTTTGCGTTCGTGGGGGTGGGGGTGGTGGTGGAAGGGGAGGAAGAGGGGAAAGTATGGGGAGGTGAATACGGAAACTGCCGTTGCGGTAGTGGGGGTAAATTTGGTGGGGCCCTTCTTTTTTTTTCTTCTGTCTCTCTTCGTTCCTGTCGTGCTCCGTTTATTCCACCGGGAAATTGGGATTTGTTGGATAAAATAATGGAATAATATGGTTCTGCTTGGCACAGTTTCAGCTCCACCTCTCCTGAAGCTGGAGCTCAGCTAAACAGTTTCAGCTCCACTAAAACTGGGAGTAGAGTTGGGTGAAGCTCTCTCACAAAATGTACTAGAGTTGTGGAGCTGGGTTTATGCAGCTCCACAGCTCCACTCCAGACTCAACTCCTGAAGTAATATTTAGGAGTTGAAGCTGTACCAAACAGCCCCTATGTTCCAAAACGTAAAAACTTAAACCTGGCACGGTGCAACGTGACTTCTTAAGCATGTGGCCGCTAAAGCACTCAAAGCTGCCCAATCTTAGGTGCAGAACAGTATGGAGTTTTCTGTATACTAGTGTCGGTGACATGGGACCGGGAGTATCATGACTAGAGACTTGGGCAGCCGCGGTCACCCACGTGGCCTGACCCCCTCGGGGGGGTCGGGCCCGAGGGAGACGTGCCCACCCCCTCCTCTGTCTCCCCGAGGGGTCGGGCTGCTCCTGTTTCGGCCCCGAGGGCTGGGGCGCCCCGACCCCCTGTGGTATTGGCACCACGTGTGTGGGTTAGGTGGGCACAGCGGCGCTCACCAAACCACATTTATTGCGGAATGGACAAGCGCGCCATGCCGCATTTAATGCAGCACGGCGCACGCATATCCGGTCCGTGACCGGTCGCAATGTGTGACCGGTCACAGACCGGTCAGATCGCGGGTTACGTGGCAGCAGGCGGCCTGTCACACGCCTCGCCCCGTCCCGTCGGAATGATGAGAGCCTCTTGACACTCGTCCCGAGCTGGAGCCGGCGTGGTAACTCCTGGAGTTAGCACGTCAGTCCCGACTCGATTCATGCCAGGCTTCATCGCAACCGTTGCAAGGAAGTCACTGTATGAAGAGGGGCAGATGTGCGGCATGCTAAACTGACGCGTGGTGGAGAAGAATGACCGGTCTGTGACTGGACTAACGCCGGTCACGTCATCGGCAGACAACCGTGCTCCCACGTTGCATCTGCTTCCGGCGGAGTGGAGGTAAGTATGACCCATCCCATCGGAGGGTCATTCAGACAGCGGCCATTGAAGATCTCCTCCCATTAATGAAGAAATGACAGGGTGATCCCCTGTGTCCGACGAGTGACGGCGCTGGGCATCACTCAAGGACAAGCGGTGATTTAGCTTCCAGGCGGAGGCGCGAGTCAAGATTTGGTCAAGATAGGGTGGGTCCCCACCCAAAAGAAGAGTAGGTAGAAGAAGTGCATGTGGTATCCCCTTGAGATATAAAAGGAGGACCTTGCCCACCTAAAAGTGGGGGAGGGGAGGGAGGGTGAAAAAAGAACCAGAAGAGAAGGAAAAAGAGGGGTTCTAGAGCTTGAACTCTCTTGCTCTCCATTTGCTCTGTAACTCCTTCACACACAGATCCACCAGAACACAGGAGTAGGGTATTACGCTTCTCAGCGGCCCGAACCTGTATACATCGCCCGTGTCTTGTGCATTTGCTCTCTCGCGAACGTTCCACAGATCGAGGGTGAAGAACCTCACTCAGCGCCCCCGGCCGAACCGGCAAAGAGGGGCCTGCGCGGTCTCCCGGTGAGGAGCCCCACGCTCCGTCATCTGGCGCGCCAGGTAGGGGGCGCGTGTGTTTTTCTAAGCCCTCGTCCTCTTTCGTGTGCGCCAAGTTTCTCCCGCTCAGCCCAATGGCCGAACGGGCAGTGGCGCACAACCTCTCTCCGAGCGCTAGCGGTGACGACAGGGAGCAGAACCCGCGCCGTCGAGCTCGTACTCCATCGTCCCCCTTTCGCCGAAGTCTTGGGCGGGAGGAGGCGCTCGAGGGGGTCGAAAGATCCGCGACTTCACCACCCACGGGTAATGAAGAAGGACGGCGAGACGGGGAGTGTCGCCTCCTCGTCTACGGCGATGGCAGCACGCCCCAGGGCGCGCTCCAGGCTGCGGGCGTGCTCCTGCGTCACCCGCCCGTCGTCCCCGATCCAGAGACTCCAGCTCGACGTTGGCTGGATGACGTGGCCGACTTGGTCATGACGGCGCAGCAGCGCCTAGGCGCCGGCGGGCGGTCCTTCGCCCCCAAGGCCTCTGGCGCTGCTACCACCGGCTCCGTGTCGTCGAGGCGGAGGGCGCGGCGAGCGGCGGCCGTTACCCGCCGTTCGTCCGCTATTCCCTCGTCAATGCCTCCGACCCAAGAAGATGTGCGTGGGGGGCCGGATGCCCGCCTCAATATTGAGCGCCGACGCAATGGTCGTCGTGCTGCCCACGCAACGAAGGGCGCTTCCTCGTCCGGAGCGCCACCTCGGTCCGGGCATGGGGGCCAGCCTCCCATGTCCCCGGTTGGCGGTGCCGGCTGTCGAGCCTTTGTGGCGAGCCTTTGGAACGTCCGTTGGCCCCCAAGGTTCCGGCCCACCATCACCGAAAAATACGACGGAAGCGTCAACCCCGCCGAGTTTCTCCAGATCTATACGACGGGGATTGAGGCCGCCGGGGGTGACGACAGGGTCATGGCGAATTTCTTCCCCATGGCCCTGAAAGGTAAGGCGCGGGGTTGGCTGATGAACTTGCCACCAGTACACTCTTGGGAGGATTTGTGCCAGCAGTTCACCATGAACTTCCAGGGCACATATCCGCGCCCAGGTGAAGAAGCGGACTTGCACGCAGTACAGCGAGAGGACGATAAGTCTCTTCGCTCGTACATTCAGCGGTTCTGTCAAGTCCGCAACACCATACCGTGCATCCCCGCACACGCGGTGATCTACGCGTTCAGGGGGGGCGTGCGGCACAATCGCATGCTCGAAAAGATCGCTTCCAAGGAGCCCCAGACCACCGCGGAGCTTTTTCAGCTTGCGGACCGTGTGGCTCGCAAGGAGGAGGCCTGGACCTGGAACTCCTCTGGTTCCGGTGTGGCAGCTCCGGCCGCCCCCGGGTCCGCCGCTCGGTCAGGGCGGCGGGACAGGAGGAGGAAGAAGAGGTCGGCCTATTTCGACGACGAGGGGCACGTCCTCGCCGTCGAGGGCGCTTCGCGGGCCACCCGAAAGGGGAGGCCTGCGAGCGACAGAAAGAAGGAGGCTGGCGCTCCCAGCAGGGAGCGCCCGACCGGCAAGTGGTGCTCCGTGCACAACACCTCCCTCCATGACCTCGCGGACTGCCGCGCGGTCAAAAGTTTGGCTGAGCGGACGAGGAAGTGGGAGGAGGAGAGGAGGCAGGAGCGCCGTGAGGGCAAGGCCCCGGCGGCCCCCGCCGGCAACCGGCGAGGTGAGGCCAAGCAGAAGGCCCCCGCCGAGGACGTCGACGATGGCGACGATAACCTGGGGTTCCAGGAGCCTCAGGCCACTGTCGCCACCGTCGATGGGGGAGCGTGCGCTCATGCTTCTCGCCGGAGCCTCAAGGCCATGAAGCGAGAGCTTCTGGCCGCGGCCCCTACCCATGAGGCGACGCGGCGGGCGCGATGGTCGGAGGTGGCCCTCACCTTCGACCAGACCGACCACCCGCCGTGCGTTGCCCGGGGAGGACAGATCGCGATGGTGGTTTCCCCCACCATTTGCAATGTGAAATTGAGGCGTGTCCTCATAGACGGGGGTGCAGCCCTCAACATCCATTCCCCCGCAGCCTTTGACGCAATCAAGGCCCCGGGGATGGTGCTCCGGCCGTCCCAGCCGATCATCGGTGTGACGCCGGGGCACACTTGGCCGCTAGGTCATATCGACCTCCCGGTCACCTTTGGTGGTTCCGCCAATTTCCGCACGGAGCGGGTGAACTTTGATGTGGCGGACCTCAGTCTGCCCTACAACGCGGTCCTGGGGAGACCCGCGTTGGTGAAGTTCATGGCGGCAGTCCACTACGCCTATCTCCAGATGAAGATGCCGGGCCCTGGTGGCCCCATCACCGTCCATGGCGACCTCCAAGTCGCGCTTGCTTGTATGGAGCAGCGCGCGGACCAGCTCGACGCGGCGTCCAAGCCCGAGGGTGGCGACGAGAGGCTCAGCGCCTCCGTCCTGGCCGCCCCGAGGCAGCGGATGATCACGTGCGACGTGGTCCCGGTCAAGGAGGTTGCCCTGGGCGACGGCCCGTCCAAGACCACGCGAATCGGTGGTCTTTTGGACGACAAATAGGAAGACGCGCTCGTCTCCTTCCTGCGGGCAAACGCCGACGTCTTCGCCTGGAGACCGGCGGACATGCCCGGGGTCCCCAGGGAGGTGATTGAGCACCGTCTCGCCGTGCGGCCGGGCGCAAGGCCGATCCGGCAGAAAGTGCGGCGGCAGGCCCCGGAACGTCAAGCCTTCATCCGCGAGGAGGTGGCGCGACTTCTGGAGGCCGGATTCATCCGTGAGGTCATCCATCCGGAGTGGCTGGCGAACCCGGTCGTCGTCCCCAAAGCGAACGGCAAGCTTCGGATGTGCATCGACTACACCGACCTCAACAAGGCATGTCCTAAGGACCCTTACCCCTTGCCACGTATAGATCAGATTGTCGACTCCACCGCGGGGTGCGACCTTTTGTGTTTTCTAGATGCATACTCTAGTTATCATCAGATTCGCATGGCTAGGGAGGATGAGGAAAAAACTGCATTCATCACCCCCATAGGAACTTATTGTTATACGACAATGCCTTTCGAGTTAAAGAATGCAGGACCTACTTTTCAACGTACCACTCGAATTTCTTTGGGTAGCCAGTTAGGACGCAACGTTGAGGCTTATGTTGATGACTTGGTTGTGAAGACGCGCAACCAAGAGACCTTACTCTCGGATCTAGCGGAAACTTTCGAAAGTCTCCGCTCCGCCCGCATAAAGCTGAACCCCGACAAGTGCGTGTTCGGTGTGCCTGCGGGCAAGCTTCTCGGGTTC